TCTATAAAAAATCAAAAAATTAGCCAGGTGTGGTGGCACACACCTGTTGTCCCAGCTACTCCTTGGGAGGCTGAGGCTGGAGGATCGTGTGAGCCCTGAAGGTCAAGGCTGTAATCATGCCACTGTACTCCAGGCTGAGCAACTCAAAAAAAACAGAGAGAGAGAGAGAAAGTAAGCCTGACACAGTGGCTCACATCTGTAATCCCGGCACTTTGGGAGGTGGAGTGAGAGGATTGCCTGAGCTCAGGGTTCGAGACCAGCCTGGGCAACTTGGTGAGACCTGGTCTCTACAATAAATGAGAAAAATTAGCCGGGCGAGGCAGCTCATGCCTGTAGTTCCAGGTACTTGGAAGGCTGAGGCGGGAGGATTGCAGGAGCCCAGCAGGTCGAGACCGCAGTGGCCATGAGCATGCCACTGCACTCCAGCCTGGGTGACAGATTGAGGCTCTGACTCAAAAGAGAAAGAGACAGAAAGTGGGCAATGAACCAGGATGAGAGTAGTGAGTGGATCACCCTCATGAATGTCGAGATGGTCCAAGTTGAGCCGGGAGGGATGAGGTGGAATAGAAAAAGGAATGATGGCCATGAGTGTAGAACTGGGTATAAAACTGGAGGGCTGAGATCTCTGAGAAAAGAGTCTGTCTTGCCCCCTGCATGTTTTGAAGAGCATCTGAGGCTTGTTCTCAGGGCTGCCAGCAATGATTTCATCCTGGGGAAATGAATGAGCACAGGTGTGTACTTCAACGTAGCGTGAGTTTCACCTTACCAGGGCGGATGAGATTCCAGGGAGCCCATGCGAGAGGCACCAACGTGTCCTGCAGTTAGTCATTGGTTGCTGGCCTTGTGCCTCCGAATGCCCTTCTGAACATGGGCAGGGTGTCTCTGACATGCCCCACCTGTTGTTTACCCGTCTCCTGGGAACATCAGAACTGCCAAAGCGATTCTGAAAGAAAAACTCTCTAGACCATGACAAGGAGACAGGGTACACACCCATCCTCCCTCCACACGATGGGCGTGTGTTTCAGGCAGCTTTCCCTTTAAATATTCAAGTGGTCATAAATGGAGTCATTAAGAACTGTGCTTTTGGCTAAGGTGTCAATCCTTCTAGAATCTAAAACTGATTTTTTTCCAGCTACAATTTATTGAGCACATACACACTGTACTAAGTAGTTTCTATTCTTCTGGGGGTTTTGTTTTTGTTTTTTGTTGTCTTGTTGTTTTTTGTTTTAGTAGGAGTCTCACTCTGTTGCCCAGGCTGGCATGCAGTGGCATGCTCATGGCAACCACAGCCTCAACCTGCTGGGCTCAGGTGATCCTTCCGCCTCAGCCTTCCAAGTAGCTGGAACCACAGATGCACACCACCACATCTGGCTCATTTTTTGATTTATTATAGAGACAAGGTCTCACCATGTTGCCCAGGCTGGTCTCGAACCATGAGTTCAGGCAATCCTCTCCCCCACCACCTCCCAAAATGCTGAGATTACAGGCATGAACCACCACATCCAGCAAGGATTATTTTTTAGTTTGAAATGTTTACATCTTTCATGAAGACTATTTCTTAAATTATTTTCTTAAGATTTTCAAGATACAGTTATTCCTATGGGATAAAATAAAGGCATAATAGGAAATTTTGAATATCAAAAAATTTTGAATATCACCAGTCTAATAATATCAGTTCAGCTGTAGAAGGTACATTATTTTCTCCCATCTCAGTCCTGTAATTCCACGATAGTCCTTGGCTGACACCTAGTGGACATATGGGAGCAATACATTTTTAAAAATTAAATGTCAAGACAGGGAAAAATTCCTGAGTTGTTGAAGTCGAGTTTACAGATATCGGGGAATTTCTTGGAAACAGCCATACTGCCTGTTCACATATATGGTATAAAACTGAATGCTTGTCCAAGCTAATTGAGAATAAAGGGGAAGGTACTTTTGCATTTTATATATTAACATGGTTCTGTTAATGCTCCCAGAAGTTGAGCTAACATTTGTGATTGAAATTAATTCCAACTACAGTAATGATCTCAAGCTCTGCACGTGTAATAGAAAGATCATTGTTACAAAAATCTGAGCATTTATTTTCTTAAAAAATATATTTTAAGGCTTTTTTTTCTTTTTTGAATCATGGTCATTCTGTTGCCCAGGTTGGAATGCAGTGGCACAATCACAGCTCATTACAGCCTCAATATCCCTGGCTTCAGCTTTCTAAGTAGCTGGGACTACAGGCATGTGCCACCATGACTGGCAACTTTTTTGATTTTTTTTTTGTAGAGGTAAATTTTCTCTGTGTTGCCCAGGCTGGTCTTAACTCCTGGGCTCAAGCGATCCTCCCGCTTTGGCCTCCCAAACTGCTGGGTTTATAGGCCTGAGCCGCTGCCTGTTTTCTCAAAATTAAGGTGACTGTGTTGAGACCTCCCCCGCCCCTTTAACTAAATATGATTGCCACTTAGACTAAATATTTTTTGCTGTGGTATCACAGATTATAGCAAAATGTAAGTAAAATTATTTTTAAAGTTATTTTTAGTAGCATTTGTAGGTTAAGCTACACTATTGAAAAATGAAAGTGACATTAGGCCGGGCGCAGTGGCTCACGCCTGTAATCCCAGCGCTTTAGGAGACAGAGGCGCGAGGACAGCCTGAGCTCAGGGGTTCAAAACCAGCCAGGGCAACTTGGCGAGACCTCATCTCTACAATAATAAAAAAATTAACTGGGCATAGTGGCACACGCCTGTGGTTCTAGCTACTTGGAAGGCTGAGGGGGAAGGTTCACCTGAGCCCAGCAGGTCAAGGCTACGGTGGCTGTGAGTTTTGTCACTTCAACTCAAAAACAGAAAGTGACATTAATGAGGCAAGAAAGGCTACTTAAGGTTCATAGCCGAGTCATGGCACCAAAAAAAGGAAAAAAAAGGCTACTTAAACTAATTTTTTATCTTCTAATCTTCAGGCAAAATGATTCATACCAGGAACAATTAACTTATTTTTCCATAACTTGGCCACAATAACAGCAACAAAAAGTAGTCCTGGGCCAGTGCAGTGGCTCACGCTTGTAATCCCAGCACTTTGGGAGGCTAAGGAAGGAGGAGAATCCCTTGAGCCCAGGAGTTGGAGACCAGACTGGGCAACATAGAGAGACCATCTCTCTACAAAAAAATACAAAAATTAGCTGGCTGTGGTGGTGCCTGCCTGTAGTCCCAGCTACTCAGGAAGCTGAGATGGAAGGATTGCCAGAGCCTAGGATGTCGAGGCCGCAGTGAGCCATGATCATGTCACTCCAACCTGGGCAAGAATAAGACCCTGATTTAAGAGGTGGGGGGAAACCCATGCACTAAACTTCAGGAGGTGGGTATTGGGATGGGAAGAAGTATGTATGTAGAGAAAGAAAAGTCAAGGTTTATCAGGCACAGTCCCCTGGGAGGGTGAGGACTCACTGGTTGAGCTTGTCATTGGATCCTAATCACAGCTCTGGAGGGCGGGTCCTATGATCCCATCTCACAGTTAAGGAGATGGGAGAGCACCCGCCTGGGTAAGGACGCACGCTGGGTTCACAGACCTTGTCCTTCAGGGCCCTTCCTCCACACGGGTGTACATCCTACCCCTCCAGAGAATCTGGGACTCACAAAAGAGATGGGAGGTGTGGGGGTTCAGGGGAATAAGGAAAGTCAGCTGATGACGATCCCAGAGCTTTCAGCAGAAGGAAGGCGGCTCTGGGAAACTTCCGGCAGCCATTTTGCAATGAACTCAAAACAGTTATAAGACCTTCAAATCTTGTTCTTTTTTTTTTTTGAGTTGGAGTCTCACTCTGCTGCCCAGGCTGGAGTGCAGTGCCACACATGCGGCTACCACAGCCTCAGTCTGCAGGGTTCAGACACTCCTTCCATCTCAGCCTCCCAAATAACTGAGACTTCAGGCACACACCACCACGTGCAGCTAATTTTTTCGATTTATTGTAAAGACGAGGTCTCACCAAGTTTCCCAGGCCTGCCTCAAACTCCTGGACTCAGGCAATCCTCTCACCTCAGCCTCCCAAAGTCCTAGAATGACACCGTGCCCAGCCCAGGGATCTTCATGTTTTGATAAACTGTCTAATGGGTGCTGATGATCAGAGGCTCCCATGTTGCAGGGTCGGGGAGTACAGTCTTAGCTCTGGTCATCAGTTGTATAGCATCTAATGCCGTATGATGGTGCTCATCTGACTGAATCTCTCCTGAACTATGTGTGAGATCATTTCTTACTTTTCGGATTAGAAAATATAGTTTAAGCCAGGCTCAGTGGCTCAGCCTGTAATCCCGCGTCTTGGGAGACTGAGGTGAGTGGATTGCCTGAGCCCGCGAGTTTGAGACCCGCCTGGGCAACATGGTGTGACCTCATCTCTACAATAAATCAAAAAATTAGCCAGGCGTGGTAGCACACCTGTAGTTCCAGCGACTTGGAAGGCTGAGGTGGAAGGATCGCTGGAGCCCAGCAGGTCGAGGCTGCGGTGGCTGGGAGCAGCCACTGCACTCCAGTCTGGGCGACTGAGTGAGACTCCAACTCAAAAAAAAAAAAAAAAAAAAGAAAACATAGTTTATTGAGAAAGCAAATTAGAGAGAGAGAGAAAGAGAAGATTCACCTCCCCAAGGTAGAGGAGAGGGCCAAAACCAGGAAACCTGGCGGCCATAGCTCAAAGAGCCAAGTGGATGCCCTAGAGTTTAACAATGCAATGGTCAGAAATCGTGAGGTTTTTAAAAGCTTTTAAAATTCCAGTGATTCCGGTGAATGAGATCCGTGATGGGATTTGGAATTTAGGTCACAGGTTGCAGCTCCTGCCAGTCATCCCAGAGCTTTTGGAGGCAGAGGCAGGAGGATGGCTTGAGGCCAGGAGTTCAAGACCAGCCTGAGCAAGAGACTGACCTCAGTCTCCTAAAAAAAGAAGAAAAAGAAAAAAATTAAGATTTGGAGTTTAAAGAAGAAGGGAAAAAACAAACAATTGCATAATAGCTCTACTTTCTCTTTTTCAGGCCAAGCAAGCAATCCTTGAAATGGATGCCATTCGTAAGTTTTGTTTCCTTGACACAATTTGAAATGTCATTGTCTATTTGTATCTATCACATTTCCTACCTTAATGTGCATGAAAATGTCAATTATAAGGAATGTCATCTCTGTTCACTTACAAACAGGGCAGACAATATAATCCCTTCTTAGCATATTGCCTTGTGTCTGCATTTATTCTGGCTGGCTTATCTGTGTGTCACTTGAGAGCTGGCCACCATCTCCGTGTCTAGGTTTCTGCATCAACTGACAATGTCATATATGACTCCAGGGCCAGCTCTTTCCCCACCTCCACCAAAAGCTAAGGCCTGGCCAGGTGCAGCAGCTCACACCTGTCATCCCAGTGCCTTGGGAGGCCTGGGTAAGAGGATTGCCTGAGCTCAGGGGTTCGAAATCAGACTGAGCAATATGGCAAGATCTCATCACTACAATAAATTTAAAAAAAGAAAAAGAAATTAACCAGGCATGCCTGTGGTTCCAGCTACCTGTAAAAGCGAGGCGGAAGGATCACCTGAGCCCAGCAGATCGAGGCTGTGGTGACCATGAGCGTGCCACTGCACTCCAGCCCGAGTGACAGAGTGAGACTCCAACTCAAAAAAAACAAAAACCAAAAAAACAAGGTTTGACAATGTCCTTCCTGCTTCATCCTGTCTCCTAAAGATTCCACGTTGATTATCTGCATGAATCCCAATCACTTGATAGTTATCGGTGTTCCTGATGCAAAAGATTCAAAAATCGCAACCATCCCATACATAGGAGTGCGTTTCTAGGCTTCAGAAAGCAGGCAGAGAACCGACAGATCAGGTCCTTCCTGATCTAGATAGACATATCCAACAGTGCTTCTCATGTCAGTGTTATTTCTCAGATCAAGAGAAAACAGTAGCTTTAGACAATCATAACCAGGTCTGCCAGAAACTTGTACTCAAAACACATCTACTTTTGCCTAAATCTTTTAAAATACCTTACTTTTGAGGAATCTTTCATCAAGTGCAAACACCGATTCCCTTCCCTACAGCCCTCCATGTGTTACTTCTCCGACGATACAGAAATATCAGCAAAGTAGAATCCATCTGGTATCCAGCAGAAATGACGGGAGATGTCCCACCAGAGTGCAGGGCTGAGGTCTCTGAACCGCCACTTTGATTTGGATTTACTTATTTCCAGGCTCTGGACGAGCACTCAGAAAGCAGAATTCTACAAGTCCCAGGATTATTTCAAGCCACTAGTGGGCTCCACATGCCTGCGGCCCAGCCTGAGGCAATAGCCTTGTTTGCCCAGCCCTGAGTTTGAACTTGGCTGAGTGTGTGTAGGGTAGACCAACCTCATGATGCAACTTTCTGCTGACATTGAAGAAGTGTCTGTGGTTTTTTTGAAACTCAGAACTCTCTCTGAACTGAAGACACCCTTGAAAAGCCTTCGTCTTAAAACTGAGGAACACTGGTTTGTAGCTGTGTCCTGAATGTGTCTGATCATTGAATGCTGCAATACCTTATAATTAGACCAGAGTTTTTGTTTGTTTGTTTGTTTGTTTGAGTTGGAGTCTCATTCTGTCACCCAGGCTGGAGTGCAGTGGCGCGCTCACCATCACTGCAGCCTCCACGTGCTAGGCTCAGATGATCCTTCCTCCTCAGTCTTCCAAGTAGCTGAAATGCAGGCATGCAACATCATGCCCACCTAATTTTTTTGATTTATTGTGCAGATGAGGACTCACCAAGTTGCCTAGGCAGGTCTCAAACCCCTGGGCTCAGGCAATTCTCTCACTTTGGCCTCCAAAAGGCCTGGGATTATAGACATGAGCCACCGCACCGGCCTGACCAGAGTTTCTTAATAAAAAATCTATGAGCAGTACAATGACCACTGTATACCTAATCCTGAATTGTATCTCATATCCAAAAAAAAAAAAAAGTCCATGAGCCAGGCGCAGTGGCACATGCCTGTAATTCCAGCGCTTTGAGAGGCTGAGGCAGAAGGATCTTTTGAGGCCAGGAGTTCCAGACCAGCCTGAGATATATAGCGAGGCCTGTCTCTATACACTACTTGGGAGGCTGAGGCAGGAGGATCGCTTGTACTCAGGAGTTTGAGGCTGCAGTGAGCTATGATCATGCCACTGCACAGAGCAAGAGCCTGTCACTAAAAAAATAATAACAATCATAAAGCTCTCCCTAAAGTCTCTGTACCCTTTATATAGGGTGGAGAGACACAAACACAAATGAAATTTTTTTTTTTTTTTTTTGAGTCAGAGTCTCATGTTGTTAGCCAGGCTAGAGGGCAGTGGCATGCTCACTGCCACCACAGCCTCAACTTGCTGGCTTCAGGCGATCTCTCTGCCTCAGCCTCTCAAGTAGCTGGAACCACAGGCATGAGCCACCGCGGCCAGTTAATTTTGTGATTTACTGTAGAGACAAGGTATTGCCAAGTTGCCCAAGCTGGTCTCAAACCTCTGGGTTCAAGCAGTCCTCTCGCCTTGGCCTCCCAAAGTACTGGGATGACAGGGGTGAGCCACTGTGCTCAACCTTCGAAAATATTAAGGGTCACTGCTCCAGAGCCCAGCTGTCCCAAGGGCACAAAGGCAATTCACTTTCTAGGAAGGCTAAAGGTGATTGATAGCTTTTTTCCCTAAGGAGGGAGAAAGAAAGGCTGGAGGTGGGGGAAGCGGGGGGCGCAAGTTCCCATAGGAAAAAAAAGCCTCAAGATACATACTCAATACCAGTTATGAGAAGGGAACTGTATCCATGTCTGATTATCCGTGTCTGGTGAAAAAGAATAAGTCCATAGAAATCTAAGCTACTAGCCAGGCGCGGTGGCTCAAGTTTGTAATCCCAGCACTTTGGGAGGCTGAGGCAAGAGGATTGCCCGAGCTCAGGGGTTCAAGACCAGCCTGGGCAACTTAGTGAGACCTTATCTCTCAAATAAATAAATAAATAAATAAATAAGCCGAGTGTGGCAGCACGCACCTGTAGTTCCAGCTACTTGGAAGACTGAGGCAGAAGGATCGCCTGAGCCCAGCAGGTCAAGGCTGCAGTGACCATGAGCATGTCCCTGCGCTCCAACCTGGGCAGTAGAATGAGACTTCGACTCAAAAAAAAAAAGAAGTGAAATCTAAGCTACTTGGCCAGGCACAGTAATCCTAGCACTTTGGAAGGCCAAGGCAGGAGGATTGTTGAACCCAGAAGTTCAAGACCAGCCTGGGCCACAAAGCAAGAATTCCATTTTACAAAATAAATAAATAAATAAATTAGCCAGCCTGTGGTCTTAACTACTCAAGAAGCTGAGGCAAAAGGATCAAAAGGCAAAAGGAGACAAAAGGATCTGAGCCCGGGAGGGCGAGGCTGCAGTGAGCTGTGATCCTGCCGTTGTATTCCAGCCAGGGCAGCAGAGTGAGACCCGCAAAATAAATACATATAAAATAAAATAAGAGCCAGGCACGGTGGCTCACACCTGTCATCTCAGCACTTTAGGAGGTGGGAGTGAGAGCATTGCCTGAGCCCACAGGTTCAAGACCAGCTTGGGCAATTCAGCAAGACCTTGTCTCTACAATAAACCAAAAAATTAGTCAGGTGTGGTGGCGCACACCTGTGGTTCTAGCTACTTGGAAGGCTGAGGCGGAAGGATTGCCTGAGCCCAGTGGGTCAAGGCTGTAGCGGCCATGAGCGTGCCACTGCACTCCAGCCTGGGGGACAGAGTAAGACTCCAACTCAAATAATTAAATGAATAAGATAAAAGAGAAATCGGAGCTCATCCTAACCGTTTTCTGAGCAGTACCAGAATGCCTCACTCTTGTTGCCCATGGTGTCTTTGCAGACCATCCAGGCTTCTGCTACAGTCCAGAGGGAGAGACGAAAGCACTTTCTGGCTCTAAAGAAGGTTCTGCTCCACATCGACTGAGAAGAAAATCTGGTAAGCAGGATGTTGTCATCAAACTTTCATGCAAATGGGGCAGTGGTAATGAAAGCCTGTGTCAGACCGACAAAATTATCATTTTCTGTCTGGTTTTTGAGCTTAATTGCCGACTTGAGTACATTTGAGGCAGCCTTAAAATGAGACTCTCAAGGTTTTGTGCTAAAACTCTTTTCTACTTAACTCTCTTTCCCAGTGAATATAAAACATATCAATCGCCAGGCACGGTGACTCACGTCTGTAATCCCAACGCTTTGGGAGACAGAGGCAGGAGGATTACCCGAGCCCAGGGGTTCTAGACCAACCTGGACAACTTGGCGAGACCTCGTCTCTCTGAAAAAGGAAAAGAATTAGCCGGGCATAGTGGTGTGTGCCTATAGTCCCAGTTACTTTGAGGCTGAGACAGAAGGATTGTCTGAGCCTAGGAGACCATAGCTGCCGTGAGCTGTGGTTGTACAACAGAGTAAGACCCCGACTCAAAAAAAGCCAGTCTGTGCGGTAGAACTATGGCAGAGGTTGGATGGAAGGAAGAGTAAAGAAGCAAAGGAGCCGGGCTCGGTGGCTCAGCCTGTAATCCCGGAGGCTGAGGTGAGTGGATTGCCTGAGCCCGCGGGTTCGAGACCCGCCTGGGCAGCAAGACCTCATCTCTACAATAAATCAAAAAATCAGCTGGGCGTGGTAGCGCATGCCTGTAATTCCGGCTACTCGGAAGGCTGAGGCGGAAGGATAGCCGGAGCCCAGCGGGTCGAGGCTGTGGTGGCCGGGAGCGGCCACTGCACTCCAGTCTGGGTGACAGAATGAGACTCCAACTCAAAAAAAAAAAAAAAAAAGCAAAGGAGAGGGTCGTCCTCTAGGAAGGAGGGAGAAGCCTTCACAGAGCAGAGAATCAGTACTCTGTAATCTGGGGACCGAGGAGGCAGGAGGGAAAGGCCCTGAGACATAAGCCAGCATACTTTTGAACAGACATCTTTGGTCAGTCATTCAGCCTGGCTGAAGCAAGTGCTGGAGCTAGGGTGGAGGAAATGGGTAAAGGTGAAAGGGAGAGAAAGATGACTAGCAGCAGGCAGATGGGGCCTGGTCTTGAAGGCCCAGGAGGCCACCTGCAGGGTTTGAACTTGATCCTGCAAGCTGAAGGAGGATTGGAAGCAAAGGACCCTGAGAATGTTTGCCTTTTAGAGAAAGAACTCTAGCTGCATTTGGAGAGTAAAGTAGGCTGGGACAGCAGGTGAGAGGCTGTCTGCTAGTCTGGGCAAGGGATGAGGAAGGCTTGAATTAAGGGAGTGAAGATGATGGGAAGCTCTGTTGGAAACCCCCGAGACCATGATTGATGAAAACAGGAGAAATGTAGGATGATGTCCTGGTTGCTGACGCAGGAGGGTGAGGTCAGTGATAACCATGGCGGGTAAGCAGCTGAAGGGGGAAGACAGGTGAGCTGGAATTCGGACATGTTGAGTTTGCTGAGGCTGGAACTTGAGTCAAAGTCTACTATAAGGCCAGGCACAGTGGATCATGGCTGTAATCCCAGCACTTTGGGAGGCCAGGGTGGGAGGATTGCTTGAGTCCAGGATTTCGAGACCAACCTAGGCAACATTATGAGAGCTCATCTCTCTGGGGGAAAAAAAAAGTCGTATGGTGGGTCACACCTAAAATTCTACCTACTTGGGAAGCTGAGGTGGAAGGATTGCCTGAGCCCAGGAGATCAAGGTTGCAGTGATTCATGATCCTGCCACTGGGTGACGGAGTGAGACCTCGACTCTAAATAAATAAATAAATAAATAGAATGTACAGTTGAACCTTATCAGCTTGCAGGTGGTGGTTAAGAGTAAGGAAGCCACTCTGCTAGCCAGCCTGATAAAGTCAGATCTTGCTTTTCTGTGGCATGACTCTCGAATCCACAGCATAACGCTGATCCCACCATTTCAACAGAGTGAATTTCTTATCTCTGAGCAGTAGAGATTTAGGTAGATTTGACAGACAATTTCTAGAGCTCAATCTGTCAATAAACCAGTAGTTTATTTGTAAAGAAAAGTTTCATTTGGTGTTGCAAATGATTCTGGCTTTATTTTTTTATTCTAGAACCTTCCTCAAGATCACATAAAGTTTTGAAGACCAGCGGTAAGTTCTAAAATAAATTTTCTGGTTTCATTCCTGGTGATATCCACTAAATCAAACCATATGCAAAAAATAAATGCCAGATGAATTACAGATTGACATCTGATTTGATTACGAAAAGATTAACTTCTTTTTTTTTTTTTTTTTTTTTTTTTTTGAGTTGGAGTCTCACTATGTGACCCAGGCTAGAGGGTACTGTCATGCTCATGGTCACCACAGCCTGGACGTGCTGGGCTCAGGTGATCCTTCTGCCTCTGCCTTCCGAGTAGCTGGAACCACAGGTGTGCACCACTATGCCCAACTAGTTTTTTATTTATTGTACATACGAGGTCTCACCAAGTTGCTCAGCCTGGTCTCGAATCTCTACCTCCCAAAGTGCTGGGATTACAGGCATGAGCCACTGAGCCCAGCTACAAAAAAATAACTTTTTTTTTTTTTGAGTTGGAGTCTCACTCTGTCACCCAGACTGGAGTACAGTGGCATGTTCCCGGCTACTGTAGCCTCGACCTACTGGGCTCCAGCGATCTTTCTGCCTCAGCCTTCCAAGTAGCTGGAACTACACGCTCGCTACCATGCCCAGCTAATTTTTTATTTATTGTAGAGACGAGGACTCGCGAAGTTGCCCAGGTTGGTCTCGAACCCCCGGGCTCAGGCAATCCACTCACTTTGGCCTCCCAAAGCGCTGGGATTACAGGCTAAACCACCGAGCCCAGGCAAGAATAACTTCTATGAGTAAAAGTATCCCGTTATAAAATGTAAAATCAAATGAGATAAAGTATTTGTAACCTGTATGACAGGATAAAAAGATTAATATCCTTATTTAAAGAAAATCCAGCCAGGCACAGTGGCTCACACCAGTAATTCCAAAATTTTGGGAGGCCAAGGCAGGAGAATCGCTTGAGCCCAGGAATTCGAGAGCTACCTGGGCAACATAGCAAGACCTCGTCTCTACAAAGTCAAAAACATTGGCTGGGCTTGGTGATATGCACCTGTAGTCGCAGCTACTTGGGAGACTAAGGCAGGAGGATTGCTTGAGCCCAGCTGGTTGAAGCTGCAATGAGCCCTAATTGTGCTACTGCACTACAGCCTGGGTGACAGCATGAGACCTGACTTTAAAAAAAAAGAAAAGAAAAGAAATTTCATACATCAAAAAGAAGAGACAATAGACTTTTTTTAAAATACAGAGAATGTTGGCCAGGTACAGTAGCTCACGCCAGTAATCCCAGCACTTTGGGAGGAGGAGGATAGAGGACTGCCTGAGCCCAAGGGTTGAAGACCAGCCTGGACAACTTGGTGAGACCTCATCTCTACAATAAATAAACAAATTAGCCAGGCATGATGGCGCACACTCGTATTTCCAGCTACTTGGAAGGCTGAGGCAGAAGGATTGCCTGAGAAAAGCAGGTTGAAGCATAGTAGCTGTGAGCATGCCACTGCACTCCAACCTGGGTGACAGTGAGACTCCTACTCAAAATATTAAAAATTAGAAAATAAAAATACAAGCTGGGTGTGGTGGCTCACGCCTATAATCCCAGCACTTTGGGGGACTGAGGTGAAAGAATTGCCTGAGCCCACGGGTTTGAGACCAGCCTGGGCAACTTGGTGAGACCTCATCCCTAAAATAAATCTAAAAATTAGCTAGGCATGGTGGTACATGTCTGTAGTTCCAGAAGGATCAACTGAGTCCAGCAGGTCGAGGCTGCACTGACCAGGAGTATGCCACTGCCCTCCAGCCTGAGCAACAGAGTGAGACTCTGACTCAAAAAATAAAAATTTAATTAATAAATAGATAAAAATACAGAGAATGTAATTGGGCAACTTCACAGAAGAAACACAACCTGTTGATACTAAAATTTTTATTTCTTTAGTTTTCTTTAGTTTTTTTAGAGTCAGAGTTTCACTCTGACACCCAGGCTGGAGTGCAGTGACATTCGCACAGCCACTGCAATCTCGACCTACAGGGCTCAGGTCCTTCGCCTCAGTCTTCCAAGTAGCTGGAACTACAGGCATACAGCCCCACGCCCAACCAATTGTTTTATGTATTGTAGAGATGAGGTCTCGCCATGTTGCCCAGCCTGATCTCGAACCCATGAACTCAGGCATTCCTTTCACTTCTGCTTCCCAAAGTGCTGGGATTACAGGCATGTACCACCCTGCCTGGCAATAATAAAATTTTTAAATGGTTATCCATATTAGTAATCAGAAAACCATGCATTTATTTAATTAATGTATTTATTTTGAATTGGAGCCCCCTGCAATCCTTCCGCCTCAGCCTTCCAAGTAGCCTGAACTACAGGCACATGCTGCCATGCCCGGCTAAAAACCATGCATTTAAATGAAATAAATGCAGGGAGAAAGCTATGAGCTTGCCCAAAGCATATAGAAAAATAGGCACTCCATGGCCAAGCACGGTGGCTCACGCCTGTAATCCCAGCACTTTGGGAAGCAGAGACGAGAGGGGTTTGAGACCAATCTGAGCAACATGACGAGACCTTGTCTCTACAATAAATAAAAATTAGCTGGCGTGGTGGCAACTCTCCTGTAGTTCCAGCTATTTGGGAGGCTGAGGCAGAAGGATTGCCTGAGCCCTGTAGATCGTGACTGCGGTGGCTGTGAGTATGCACTGCACTCCAGTCTGGGTAACGGTGAGTCTCTGACTCAAAAAAAACAAAACAAAATAAAACAAAAAACCCCCTGTGAACTGTGGTTGCTTCCTGGGAGTGGGATTTGTGGAAGTATTTTACTGGGGTACTAAAAAAAAATGTATACATATTTTAAGAGATGTTATCTATGTATTATTTTTCAAAGTTGAATTGAATTACAGTAGCAATGTGTAATTGTGGAAGTCAAATCTGACTTGTATTCATCTTTTGTAATTGGTATATATGGAGGTTTACAATTTAATACAGTTTTTTCTTTTCTTAAAATGTATATACATTTTTTTGGCACCCTGTGTATATTTTTCTGTAATTAAATAGTTTTTGTTTGTTTGTTTTTTATTTATTTATTTATTTTTGAGTCAGAGTCCCACTCTGTCACCCAGGCTGGAGTACAGTGGCATGCTCACGGCCACCGCAGCCTCGACCTGCTGGGCCCAGGCGATCCTTCCACTTCATCCTTCCAAGTAGCTGGAACTACCGGCATGTGCCACCACGCCTGGCTAATTTTTTAAATTTATTGTAGAGATGCGATCTCATCAAGTTGCTCAGACTGGTCTCGAACCCTGGGCTCATACAATCCTCTCCCCTCAGCCTCCCAAAGTGCTGGAATTATAGGCTGAGCCACTGTGCCCAGCCATAAAACAGTTTTTAAAGATGAGAATCAAGCTGGGCTCGGTGGCTCAGCCTGTAATCCCGTGCCTTTGGGAGGCTGAGGTGAGTGGATTGCCTGAGCCCGCAGGTTTGAGACCCGCCTGGGCAGCGAGACCTCATCCCTACAATAAATCAAAAAATCAGCCATGTGTGGTAGCACATGCCTGTAATTCCGGCTACTCAGAAGGCTGAGGCGGAAGAATCACCGGAGCCCAGCAGGTTGAGGCTGCGGTGGCCGGGAGCGGCCACCGCACTCCAATCTGGTGCGACAGAGTGAGACTCCGACTCAAAAAATAAAAATAAAAAAATAAAGATGAGAATCCACACAATCATCCTGTCTGTAAGGGTGTCTATGAGGAAATGGCTATGCAAATATCTCCCACAATTCCACTCACAACACTACTTAGAACAGTACCATGGTTACCCTATGGATTAAAAGGTGGCATCTTTCCATTCAAATTAACCAAATACCTAAAAATCAGCAGGAGTATTGTCTTATCTTTACATGATTTTCATGGCTTAGGGCATTTGGATTTTTTCAGGTAATTCAAAATTTACTAACATGAATTAGTTGATCGCAGGGATAAGGAAGATGCCTAACAGTCAGATGCATGGAAAGTTGCTTTATGTAAAGTAGAGGGTATATAACTGGGATCATTGAGAGGCATTTTCTGAAAATTAAATGTAAAGGGCCCTGAGCAGGTGCAGTGGCTCACGCCTGTCATCCCAGCACTTTGGGAGGCCAAGGTGGGAAAATCGCACACAGTAAGACCTCATCTCTACAAAAAAAAAAAAAAATTAGCCAGGCATTTGGCCTATGTCTGTAGTCCCAGCTACTGGAAAGGCTGAGGTGGGAGAGTCACTTTAGCCCAAGAGGTTGAGGCTGCGGTGAGCCGTGATCACACCACTACACTCCAGCCTGGGCGACAGGGTAAAACTCTGTCTCAAATAATTTAAAATTAAATAAGCAGGCTGGGCGCGATGGCTCACACCTATAATCCCAGCACTTTGGGAGGCGGAGGTGAAAGGATTGCCTGAGCCCACAGATTTGAGACCAGCCTGGGCAACTTGGCGAGATCTCTTCTCTACAATAAATCAAAAAATTAGCTAGGCATGGTGGCACGTGCCTGAAGTTCCAGCGACTTGGAAGGCTGAGGTAGAAGAATCGCCGGAGCCCAGCAGGTCGAGGCTACAGTGGCTGAGAGCATCTCACTGCCCTTCAGCCTACTTGACAGAGTGAGACTCCAACTCAAAAAAAAAAAAGTAAATTAAATTAAATTCACAAATAAAGGGCCCAGGTGTCACTTGGGCTTTAGTTATTAGCAATAAATATATAAGTCCTATGTTTTAAACATGAGTGTTTCCTTCTCGAGGAGGTATACTTTTAATTCTCAAACTTGAAAAAAACTTTTTTTTTTTTTTCAGATACAGCACAAGATATCCAAAAGGTAAGCATTCTCACATTTCTCATCTGGAAACTTTCCTAGGTGCCCTTTCCCTGTATGTCTCACCCCAGCCTGTATTCCAAGTGTAAACAATAGTTGTTTATGTTTTAGAAATGTGTTTTATATTTTATCTTGCTTTGTATCTCTTAAATTATTCCCATTTGATTTAAGTGACATCCACCCTTACCAGCTTCCTCTATCCCCTCCCTGTCTCTTAGAACCGAGGTGATTACTTATTCATCCTCTTCTCCACTTCTTACCTGAGGAACTGTAACCTTATCTTAGGGTGTGACACCTGCACATCCTTGTTGTCACACACCGCGTAAGCCCTAGGCTCTCACCTTCTAGTATGAATTCTGCTCACAGCATGATCCTTTGTTCACAAGGACAGGGGTCCCCTTCTAAGAATATTGTTCTGCTGCTAGAATAAGACATATGATGATCCAGCCTGGGTGGCGTAGGAAGATCTCGTCTATATTAAACACACACACACACACACATACACACAAAGACACACAAAAAATTAGCCAGGCATGGTGGCATGTGCCTGTAGCTCCATCTACTAGAGAGACTGAGGAGGAATGATCACCTCAGTTCAAGAGGTCAAGGTTCTGGTAAGCAGTGATCGCACCACTGCACTCTAGCCTGGGCAACAGAGTAAGACCCTGTCTCGAAGAAAAAAAAAAAAGACATGTGGTATATGTGATAGAATGAAACTTTGCTCTATCGAGTTTTATTTTTCTTCCCCTGATTAAAGGTTAGATGAAGAATAAGAATAGTGTGCTCAACCAGGCGCAGTAGCTCACGCCTTCTATCCCAGCAATTTGGGAAGCAGAGGTGAGAGGATTGCCTAAGCTGGCAGATTCGAGACCAGCCCGGGCAACTTGGCGAGACCTCATCTCCACAATAAATCAAAAATTAACCGGGCATGGTGGCACGTGCCTGTAGTTCCAGCTACTTGAAAGGCTGAGGCAGAATTGCCTGAGCCCAGCAGGTCGAGGCTGCAGTGGCCGTGAGCGTGACAGGGTGAGACTCCAACACATACACAAAAAAGAATAGTGTGCTCTCTTGGTAGGTATAAGTTTATTACATACCAAGTTCATTACCTGTGAAGCATAGGTGACCTGGCCTGACCTGAGGAGTTTGTCCCATATGGCTGCTGATAAAGACCTTACTTAACAATTCTTAGAGAACTGGTCATGGCTTCTTGTTGAATGTTCTGTATCTGTAAGGATGTGACTGTGAAAAATCTCTCCTCACAATTCTATTCACTCCATTGCTTAGCACAGGGACAAATTGACTCTGTTAATAAAGGTTGTATCTTTTCATTAAAACCAAAAAAAAAGGCTAAAAATCAACACAGTCTTACCTTCAAAGTGATTTTCAAGACTCAGGGCACATGCTTTTTTTTTCAGGTAGTACATATTTTTGTTTGGAGACTTTTAAAACTTACTAATATTAATTGGTTCATTGTCCTGAAATATGGCATGAAGTTTTGAATTTTTATCTAATTTTGTTTTTATTAGTTAGATCAATCAATACAAAGACTCCCTGTTCTTTTTTGAGTTGGAGTCTCACTCTGTCACCCAGGCTGGAGTGCAGTGGCATGCTCACAGCCACCACACCCTTGACCTGCTGGGTTCAGGCGATCCTTTCGCCTCAGCCTTCCAACTTGCTGGAACTATAGGCGCGTGCCACTACACCCGGCTAATTTTTTGATTTATTGTAGAGATGAGGTCTGGCCAAGTTGGCCAGGCTGGTCTTGAATCCTCTCGCCTGACCCTCCCAAAGTGTTGGAATTACAGGTGTGAGCCACCGTGCCTGGCTGGCTCCCTGTTCTTTAAAGTAGCCAAAATGGGACTGTGGAAGCAAGCCCTTCTCAGTATAAGTGGGAAATTTTTCCATTGAAAAGTTTTAGAGACACAGTCTTAAGAGATTCTTGGAAGTTTTCTACAGCAGTGCTCAAGCCAAGTCCATATGGCACTAACTAAACCTTACAAAAGTTGAAGATAAGAAAAAGAAAACACTGATACGCTTCTTTTTTTTTTCTTTTTTTTTTTGAGTTGGTGTCTCACTCTGTCGCCCAGACTGGAGTGCAATGGCCACTCTCGGCCACCGCAGCCTCGACCTGCTGGGCTCCGGTGATCCTTCCGCCTCAGCCTTCCAAGTAGCTGGAACTACAGGCGCGTGCTACCATGCCCAGTTAATTTTTGATTTATTGCAGAGATAAGGTCTCGCCAAGTTGCCCAGGCGGGTCTCGAACCCGTGGACTCAGGCAATCCACTCACCTCGGCCTCCTGAAGCACTGGAATTACAGGCTGAGCCACTGAGCCCGGCTCGATACGCTTTTTTTTTAGTGGTAAAATGCTACCTCCTAACAATAATTCTCTCTCTTAACAGTAATGCAAGATCAGATTCACTGATAACTGAAGAGTTTATAATGGAAATATTCCTTGATTATAGTTTAATATTTCTCCCAGAATACAGAGGTGCCAACAAAAATACACATTTTGTGAGATGTTATCTATGCATTGCTTTTCAAAGTTGAATTAAATTATGGTAGCAATGCGTAGTATGATGTTTGCTCAACCGTGCTTCCAACATTTTCTTTGACTGTCCTGCCTATCGCATGGTGACACTAAGCATTCATTTGATTAAGGCCATCTTTTGAGCGAATGTCACACTTAAAATGTATATGCATTTTTTTTGGCACACCTTCTGTATATATTCTGAAACTGTATCTGAGTGTGTAGTGGTTAAGCTCAAATATAAGCTGTGGACTAAGGCATTTAGTCAAATCTATTTCTGCCATTTATAAACTGTGTGGCTATAGGCTAATTGTTCACCCTTACCAGGATTCAGTTTCCTAGTTTACAGAATTGTTATATTCAATCCAGTATGTTTTTTGTTTTTTGGTTTTTTTGCAATGAAAAGCAAAAGAGTTTATTCACATTCAGAGTAGTGTCTGAATGGAGCCAATGCTGCGAGCAACGTGGCCCTGTGGGATGGGATAAGGATGCTTTTAAGGTTTCTTTTTTTTGAGTTGGAGTCTCACTCTGTCGCCTAGACTGGAGTGCAGTGGCACGTTCACAGCCTCCACAGCCTTAACCTGCCGGGCTCAAGCAAGCAATCCTTCTGCCTCAGCCTTCAGTAGGCAGAACTACAGGCGAGCACTACCATGCCCAGCTAATTTTTAATTTGTTGTAGAGATGAGGTCTCGCCATGTTACCCAGGCTGGTCTCAAACCCGCCTCTCAAAGTGCTGGTATTACAGGCTGAGCCACCAAGCCCGGCCACTTTTAAGGTTTCTTTTTTTTTTTTTTGAGTTGGAGTCTCACTCTGTCACCCAGACTGGAGTGCAGTGGCTGCTCCCGGCCACTGCAGCCTCGACCTGCTGGGCTCCGGCGATCCTTCCGCCTCAGCCTTCCAAGTAGCTGGAACTACAGGCGCGTGCTACCACGCCTGGCTGATTTTTTGATTTATTGTAGAGATGAGGTCTCGCTGCCCAGGCGGGTCTCGAACCCGCGGGCTCAGGCAATCCACTCACCTCAGCCTCCCAAAGGCGCAGAATTACAGGTTGAGCCACTGAGCCCAGCTAAGGTTTCTATAAGGAAGTAGTGTTAGTAAAAATCTCCAGGAACTGCATTCTTGGGTTTTGACACAGTAGGTAAATATGTTTGTTTTTATTTTTTATTTTTTGAGTTGGAGTCTCACTCTGTCACCCAGGCTAGAATGCAGTGGCACACTCAGGGCCACTGCAGCCTCGATCTGCTGAGCTCAGGTGATCCTTCCACCTCAACCTTCCCAGTAGCTGGAACCACAAGCATGTGCCACTACAGCTGGCTAATTTTTTGATTTATTGTAGAGATGAGGTCTCACAAAGTTGCTCAGGCTGGTCTCGAACCCGTGGGCTCAGGCAATCCTCTCACCTCAGTGAGCCACTGCACCCGGCCAATATGTATGTTTTTAAAGTCTTATAGTATTTGGCACAAAACAAGTGTTTAGTAGATGATAGTTGTTATCATAACTAAATAGCCAAAATGCTGAGACTGTGAAAGAACAGGACAAATAAGTTAATTACGGCTCTGGTAAAATTGAGTTATCTAAATTACATATTTCAGGGCCTGGTATGGTGGCTCACATCCATAATCCCAGTGGTTTGGGAGGCTGAGGCAGGAAGATCACTTGAAGTCAGGAGTTCAGGACTGGACTGGGCAACATAAGGAGACCCTCCTCTCTACAAAAACCAAAAATTTAAAAATTTCTTTTCTATGTTGTGACCAATCATATACTGATTATTTCTTAGTCAAAGAGCTTCTGCAGTGTTTCTAATGATTTAATGTAAATTTTCAGTTACCAAAAAAACTGCCATTTTTATTTGAAGTGTGATTACCTTAAAATATACTATAATATTAACAATTCAGGTTTTCTTTTTTTTCTTTTTCTTTTTTGAGTTGGAGTCTCATTCCATCGCCCAGGCTAGAGTGCAGTGGCATGCTCACAGCCACCCCAGCATTGACCTGCTGGGCTCAGGTGATCTTTCTGCCTCAGCCGTCAAAGTAGCTGGAACTATAAGCATGTACTACCATGTCTGATTTTTTGATTTACTGTAGAGACGAGGTCTCGCCAAGTTGCCCAGGCTGTTCTCGAACCTGTGGGCTCAGGCAGTTCCTTCTCCTCAGCCTCCCAATGTGCCGGGATTACAGGCTTGAGCCACCACACCTAGCCTAACAATGTAGGTTTTCTAATTTTCTAAAATATCTGGGAATTTTCTGGGATGAAAGATCTTAGAAGATTACTTTTGGCTGTTGTGAGAAACACAAACCTATAATCCCAGCACTTTGGGAGGCGAGGACGAGAGGATTGCCTGAGTCCAGGGGTTTGAGGCCAGCCTGGGCAACTTGGCAAGGCCTCATCTCTACATTAAATCAAAATATTAACCAGGCATTAGAAGTCTGAGACGAAAAGATTTCCTGAGCCCAGCTGCTCAAGGCTGCAGTGGCTGTGAACATGCAACTACACTCCAGCCTGGGCAACACAGTGAGACTCTGGGCAACACAGTGAGACTCCTACTCAAAAAAAAAAAAAAAAATGTTGTTACATGTTTCAGAGCATTTTGTCATAATTTAACCAGTTCATATTGACTTGTTTTACTTTATTAAAAGTGGTTACTGGATGCCTATATTTTCATAAACACTATATCAGTGCAATCTGAGTAAGGTGAAAAGATACTAAAATGTGGAAGAAAAGATACATAAAAACAATAGATATCCTGGAACAGTATATCAGAAATTTTAAAAAGCAATAAATATTATATATAAATATTGCCTAGCCTAGGCAACATAGCGAGACTTCAATCAAAAAATTAGCTGGGCATGGTGGTGTGCACCTGTAGTCTCAGGTACTCAGGAGGCTGAGAACAGAGGATCGTTTGAGCCCAGAAGAGCAAGGCTGCGGTGGGCCATGATTGTGCCACCAGTTTGAACAACAGAGTGAGGCTCTGACTCAAAAAATAAAAATAAAAGATAATATTGTGTGTGTGTGAAAAGGAAAAAAACTTGAATTTTTAAAGTTTTAACAGAAAAATAACTTTTAAGGAGAAATTCTTGTTATCTTTACTTATAGATAGATAGATTTTCCAGTCAATATGTTTCCCAGTTTCATTGACAAGTGATGAAAAGTTTTTACTAATTTGACATTTCTAATAGGTTGCTATAATATTTTGATCAGAAAACATGTCCCTGGTACTAATTCATTTGAACAGGTCTTCTTCTTTTTCTTTTTTTTAATTTGGTGTCTCACTCTGTCACCCAGGCTGGAGTACAGTGGTACACTCACAGCCACTGCAGCCTTGACCTGCTGGGCTCAGGCGATCCTTCCGCCTCAGCCTTCCAAGTAGCTGGAACTACAGGCGTGTGCCACCACACCCAGCTAATTTTTATTTATTTATTTATTGTCAAAATGAGGTCTAGCCATGTTGCCCAGGCTGGTCTCCAACCCATGGGCTCAGGCAATCCTCTGGCCTCTGCCTCCCAAAATACTGAGATTACAGGAGGGAGCCACCACGCCCAGTTCGAACAGATCTCAACCCTTTCCACTCTTTGAAGCTAATCCTTCTACCTACAGAATAGGATGAGGAGGTAACCCACTCCTGCCTGCACCACTGAGTTCCATCAAGTAGGCCTCCAAGTTACAAAAGACTTCATTTTTTTGTTTGTTTTGTTTAGAAGTCATTAATGTCACTCCTTTTTTACTTCCTAACAGGCAATTAAATATTAGCTAAATGTATTTTAAAAGAAAATAAAGGGCCAGGCACGTCGACTCACACCTATAATCCCACACTTTGGGAGGCCGAGGTGAGAGGATTGCCTAAGCCCACAGGTTCGAGACTAGCCTGGGCAATTTCGCAATACCTCATCTCTACAATAAATCAAAAAATTAACCGGATGTCGTGATGCATGCCTGTAGTTCCAGGTACTTGGAAGACTGAGGTCTGGAAGGATCACCTGAGCCCAGCAGGTCAAGGCTGCGGTGACCATGAGCGTGCCACTGCACTCCAACTCAAAAAAAAGAAAATAAATTAAAAATATCATTAGCTCAGCAGGGTTAGATTACATTCCTACAGCAAAGACTCTTTGCCTAGAATCTATAAACCAAGATAATGTTGGCCAGATTCATGGTGGGTATGCAGATTTAAGGAATGCCTTTGGAGTGTGCAGTCAGGTCACTGGGAGAGGCTTCTCGTATATCAGAAACCATGGTAAGACTCTAGGAGTCAAGCCCTAGGTCTAACGCTCCTTAGAAAGTCTCAGATGGAAACCAGCTATCATGATCCTTGATGCCTAGATATATATTCATTTATGCAGTGGAGATTTGCCAGCTGCACCCCAGACTTATTTGAAATATCTAAGAGATTTCTGTATTGAGCTAACTTCCTGCTGTAGGGCAAGGACTTGGGATCAGACCTGGGTTTAACCCCTGGCCTTACTAAGAGCTAGACAGAGCAAGTTAAATCTTTGGGGGCCTCAATTTCCTTACTGTGAAATTTGTACAATCATATCTAATTCATAGAGTGGTTGTGAATGCTTAAGTTTGGAGAATATCTGCGCATTGCCTGGCCTGGTTTCTAAGTATAATTCTTGTCCTTTCTGCCCTTTTGCAAAAATCTGAAGTGCTTTTCAACTCAGTTAAAATCAACACTGTCTCCTGATCATTTTCTTTAAGAATATTACAGTCTTGAGCCAGGGTTGGTGGCGCACCTGTAGTCCCATCTCCTTGGGAAACTGAGGTAGGAGGATCCTTTGAGATCAATCTGGACAACACAGCAAGACTATACATTTTTTTTTTTTTTTTTGGAGTGAGAGTCTCACTCTGTCACCCAGCTGGAGTTGCAGTGGCATGCAAGCAGCCATCTCAGCCTCGGCCTAACTGGGCTCAGGTGATCCTTCCACCTCAGCTTCCCAAGTAGCTGGAACTACAGGTGCATATCACCACACCCTGCTAATTTTTTGATTTATTGTAGAGATGAGGTCTTGCCAAGTTGCCTAGGCTGGTCTTAAACCCCTGGCCTCAGGCAATCCTGCCGCCTCTGCCTCCCAAGGTGCTGGGATTACAGGTGTAAGCCACCATACCAGGCAAAACCCTATCTTAAAAAAAAAAAAAAATAGGCCAAGTACGGTGGCTCATGCCTATAATCCCAGCACTTTGGGAAGCCGAGGTGAGAGGATTGCCTGGGATATATATATAAAATATATGTTGCAATATAGTGGCAGAGGCATTATGTAAACACAGGAGACATCCCTAATTTATGTGGTTTCTCCGTGGTGCTGTCATTCAGTGGATCTATTTCTGTCGTCTTCAGGTTTCTAGAGAGGAAGGATCGCCCCAGCTGACTTCAGCAGGGCCATCTCCTTCCCAGAGAAACAGTCAGCCAGGCAGTTCTGCCATGATCAGCGTGCTTCGAGGGGGTGGCGCTATCCGAAACATCTGGACCGACCACCAGATTAGGCACGCCTTGTTTCCTAGCCGACGGTCCCCACAGGAGAACGAGGATGAGGAAGACGATTATCAGATGTTCGTGCCCTCCTTTTCCTCCTCAGACTTGAACTCTTCCAGACTGTGTGAAGACAGCACCTCCAGTCGACCTTGTAGCTGGCACATGGGACAGATTGAGCCCACAGCGACCTCCAGCTCTGGCCACAGGATTGTCAGGCGGGCCAGCAGTGCTGGTGAGAGCAACACGTGCCCTCCTGAAGGCAGAATTCGGGACAGCGATGGCTCTCAGTACAGCCCCCGGAGGGAGCCGCAGAGTGGCCCCAAAACAGAAGGGCAGGAAGGGAGGACTCCCTTCGGGTCATCGATAGAGTTGACTATTGATGACATAGACCACGTCTATGATAACATAAGTTACGAGGATTTAAAGCTACTGGTGGCTACACGAGAAGGAGCTGAATCCACTCCCCTCAAACCAGCCAGGGACGCCGTCCGCCCCAAGAGCACCCCAGAGTTCGCCTTTTCGAAGAGGCAAACTGGCCACCACCAGAACTCTGTGTATGCACAAAAAGACGCACTCCCAGGCCACGAGGCATCCACCCAAAGCACACATGAACTCCAGGTGGTCGAGGAGAACATCTATGACACCATAGGGTTCCCAGAACCCCCGTCACTGGAGTTCAGGTGCAGCAGCCTCAAGCGGCCAAAGAGAGGCACCTTTCTGGGTCTGGAGGCCGACTTTTCGTGCTGCGACAGTCTGAGACCATTTGTTTCCCAAGACAGCCTCCAGCTGAGTGAGGACGAAGCGTCGTACCCCCAGGCCACCTCCCACCCTGACTATCTGAGCCTGCTGTATAATTCTTCCAGCTGCAACCTGTCCATAGCCGATAAGCCCCTCTCTGATAAACTGTCAGAAGAAGTAGACGAGATCTGGAATGACCTGGAAAATTACATCAAGAAAAACGAAGACAAGGCCAGAGAGCGCCTCCTGGCAGCATTTCCCGTGAGCAAAGATGATGTGCCGGACAGGCTGTACGTGGAGAGCACCCCCGAAATGAGCAAGGAGGCTGCGCGGTCCGTGTCTGTGCTGTCACTGCCTGAGAGCCAGGCCCTCCTCACCTCTGTAAAGGGCAGGGCCATCAGGGCCAGCCAGGCCAACTGCACTTTTGAGGAAGACCTGATTTCTAAAGAAGGCTCCTTCCGGAGTCTTAACCGGCTCTCTTTGGCCAATGAAATGCCTACCGTGGACGGCCCCTATGACTTGGCCAACAGTAGTCTGGCCCAGGCAGACCCAGAAAACCCTGACCCGGGAATGGAGGCCACAGACAAGACAAAAAGCAGGGTGTTCATTATGGCTCGCCAGTACAGTCAGAAGATCAAGAAGGCCAATCAGCTTTTAAAAGTGAAAAGCCCGGAGATGGAGCAACCACCGGCCAGTCAGCATCCTAAGCCCGTGCACAAAGACCTGGCAGCCATCTTGGAAGAGAAGAAGCAAGGCGGGCCCGCCATTGGTATGTCTACCCTGCTTTCTTCCTTCTCGTAGTAGGATGTGAGGGCCAATTTCAGAGTCTAAATGTCCTTACAATGGACACCCCTGTGAAATCAACTATGAGGCTGGGCGTGGTGGCCCATGCCTGTAATACCAGCACTTTGGGAAGTGGAGGTGAGAGGGTTACCTGAGTCCAGGGGTTCGAGAACAGCCTGGACAACTTGGTGAGAACTCGTCTCTACAATATATGCAAAAAATTAGCTGGGAGTGGTGGCACGTGCCTGTGGTTCCAGCTACTCGGAAGACTGAGGCGGAAGCATCACCTCAGCCCAGGAGGTCAAGGCTGTAGTAGCCACGAGTGTGCCACCTGACTCCAGCCTGGGCAACAGAGTGAAGTACCTACTCAAAAATAATGAAAGAGAGAGAGAGTACCCATAAGATAGTAAGACCATAGACAAGGCCACTGGGCTTGCAGTCAGTTAACATGATGACTCCCTTTCTTTTTCTTGTTTATCTGAGCACAGATTTATGATCTCAAAATAAAGCCGCAGACGAAGCCGTGACCAGCCTTTCCCCACTCCACCTCCACTGAAGTATGCAAGTTGTAGCATGATGGGGCCTCAGAGGTTTTTGTTATACGTGCAACAGTATCATTACAGAACTGATACTTTTAGAAAAAGTTTTTTGCTAGGGTACCCTAAAGTATAAAAAAGAGCAATCGGTTGTAACCTGTGAAATCTACAGCTTTTCCCAGTTTCAGTCATTAGTTAGGAGGAGGATAGCATATGTGAGCTCTGAAGATTTGGAAGTAGCCGGGCTCGGTGGCTCAGCCTGTAATCCTGCGCTTTGGGAGGCTGAGGTGAATGGATTGCCTGAGCCCGCAGGTTTGAGACCCGCCTGGGCAACTTGGCGAGACCTCATCTCTACAATAAATCAAAAATTAGCTGGGCGTGGTAGCGCGCGCCTGTAGTTCCAGCTACTTGGAAGGCTGAGGTTAAAGGATTGCCAGAGCCCAGCAGGTCGAGGCAGCGGTAGCCGAGAACATGCCACTGCACTCCAGCCTGGGCGACGGAGTGAGACTCCAACTCAAAAAAAAAAGATTTGGAAGCAAGTCTGGGCACAGTGGCTCATGCCTGTCATCCCAGCACTTTGGGAGGCAGAGGCAAGAGGATTGCCTGAGCCCAGAGGTTGGAGACCAGCCCGGGCAACTTGGCGAGACCTCATCTCTACAATAAATCAAAAAATTAGCTGGGCATGGTGGCGCTTGCTTGTAGTTCCAGCTACTTGGAAGGCTGAGGCGGAAGGATCACCCGAGCCCAGCAGGTCGAGGCTGCAGTGGCCCTGAGTGTGCCACTATACTTCAACATAGGCGACAGAGTGAGACTCAGACTCAAAAAAAAAAATTGGAAACATATAGAAGAAGATAGCAGCTTACTTCAGGACCTGGCAAAATCACCTACTCCATCGTCTGCCCCTGCTTTTTAAAAAGGCCAAAAGAAGAGTCGTTTTTGCACTTTTCTCAGCTGCTCACACTATAACTCAGTTTTTTTCTCACATATTTCCATTGCTACCTAGTTTTTTTAAATAGCTGCTATTACACATTTGACACCATCCCACTTGGTACTCTCCTATATGCTTCCAGGAAGTTTAATTCTTCAGTCAGACCTCCTTTGTAGGGCCTAACTAAACCAGGATCTTAGTTGTGATATTGGTAAGGTCCCGGCTACAGGAATGAGTTTTTCATGATTTTACTTTTTTGAAGGCCAGAATATACACTGTCCTAAGGGGATGAACATAATTGTGAATAAAGCATGAGACTGTCATGGAAAGAAAAACCTGAGGGTGGCGGTTCTCATTCGAGAAGCTTTTACCTCCAGATTCAGAAAGAGTTCTGGGCGTGGGCCCAGGAATCTGTATTTTTTTTATTTTATTTATTTATTTATTTATTTATTTATTTTATTTTTTTTTTTTTTTTGAGTTGGAGTCTCACTCTGTCGCCCAGACTGGAGTGCAGTGGCCGCTCCCGGCCACCTCAGCCTCGACCTGCTGGGCTCCGGCGATTCTTCCGCCTCAGCCTTCCAAGTAGCCGGAATTACAGGCATAAGCTACCACGCCTGGCTGATTTTTTGATTTATTCTAGAGATGAGGTCTCACTGCC